CAGATAAGACTTCTGTTCTTTCAAGCATCTGATAGGACAAATTAATTTTTGCCCATAATCTCCTGTGCCTCATGCTAGTAACCTCAACAGTTGCTTGGAAGTAAGATATAGAAGAAAAAGCCTTGCACACAAAAATAGGTGGTATGATCTTGTCCATAGCACTACACCTTTAATCCAACTTTACATTTGCATCTTTTTCTTCACATCATACCTCCCTGCTGTCACATATCTGTGCCTACTTAAGTATTTGGGTGAGGTGGATATGTCAGGTGTTAAATCAGATATCAGCAAGGTTCTTGAGATGAGGAAATATGTAAGCACTGGCTGTTTACATAAGATTTTATCCTGCCTCACTGACATCAGAAAGGTTATTGCCATTGACTTAAATAAGCATGGTGACAGAGACAGAAACCTCTGCTAGTATGCCCATTTCCAGAATCCTGAAGAGGAAGGTGTTGGGCTTGAGGAGATAAATATGTGGGGAAGCTTCTCTTCATAGTCTACCAAGAATAGCAGTCACACTTCATCATCCACAAAATTATTCACAAAATCAGTAATTTCATTGTAGACATTCACCCATAAGGAGAACTATGAGTCTGTACTTGAAGCAAAACAAACTACTGCCAGTATTTCTAAAACATCTGTGGTTTTAAATATATCCCATGAAAGTTCTCTGAAGAAACAGGTGTTCTTCCAAATGCTATAAGATACATATTATAAATCACATTGTTCTTTCCAAGGGTAATGAAGTAGGCAAGGAACACAAAGAAGAGCATAACCGTACATTTTCAGGGATCTGTTAAATCTCACTGAAGCTGATTTCACTTACTTAGATGAAGGCAGGCTGGGATGGGAAAACACGCACTGCAGCCTGAAGTGTTTCTACAGAATGTGTAAGTACAATGAAGTTTGCCTTCCTTTAGTTTTCTCCAGCACTAATATCAGTAAAACCTGCTTGGGGTGCAGTGTGGATCAGTTTATTGCATAAATACCCAAAGGTCTGGAAAGACTGGTATAGCACAGCAAATCTTTTGTGGTTACTACCCAAGTCAGCAAGACCAAAGGTAACTTTCATAGCAGGTGGAGTCTATTGGTACAGCAGTAAGGTCGGTAGCTGCGCTCCAGATGCACTGTAGCAGTTTTCTTACAGAAAATGTGGCTCTAAGGACATTGTCATGAGAGAGGAACTACAGAAGCAAGGCAGACAAGAAGTGCATCCACAGAGGTTTATTTATTCCCCAGTCTGATTGTCAATTGATTTCAGTGAGACTTCTGATGTCAGCAGGGACTACAGGGAGGAAAAGATAAATCTATTCTTTTTCCATCAGAAGTGCTTTGAGAATCAGACTTACAAAAATGTATTATATAGGATTGATTTCCTTCATTAGCCTCATTTCAGTAATATTATTAGCTATAAATCACAAGACAATTTCTTATGGAATTACATTCTTATTAATATCACAACATCCTCATCCCCCCATCAGTTATCATATTCATTTTTCATATGCCAGAAATCCCAATAAAATTAGCCAACTGGACACTAATAGCATGGCTGTATCTTTCCCTCTTCCACACATTCTGTTAGCTTGTTTTTATCTTACTTTCTCTTTTTAATTTTTTCTTGTTGTCAAATTGTATTGCAGAGCACAGAATGCTTTTCTGGTCCTTACAATGTCTCATACATTAAAAATGCATTAGGGAAGATATCAACTATCTCAATTTGCTTTAAAATGTCTTTTCTTCATAGCTACTGAAAATAAGACTCATGAATGCATTAATCCTAAACAGAGTAAGTGATCCAGGCCAAAACTTACTATTAAAAAGATGACAAAAAAAAAAAAAGTATAGCTTTCTTCTTATGCCTGATGTTCAGAATAATTCATTCCTGATAATAGTCACAACAATAATAGGAAGTTGAAAAGAAAATAAAATGACTGTCTAATTCAAAACTGAGAAGAAAATTAGTTTTCCGAAACAACCAAAAAACTGCTTTCAAAAGTGATTTTATCTCTATGGAACTGGTACAAAAGTCATGCTGTTACATACTCCTTCTGTTCAGTGTCTAAAAGGCTGGGAGAGATATTTTTTCACACATATTCCCAGCCCTGCTCTATTCCCTTTGTGCTTTGTGGGATCAGCACAAAAGGTCTAGAAAGTAGGCTGGAAAAATCAGCTGCAGGTTCTCCTTGAGAGAAGGGTTCCCCAGGTACCACAGTGCCAGTACAGGCAGCTGTTCCTCACCAGCAGCTTGCTCTTTCTCTCCAGCATACTGGACTGACCAAGGTCATGACATTCACTATGCTCCTTACCTGTGGGTGGGAAAGCCCAGCATCTAAGGAATGCAACTGGTGAGGAGTGGCAAAGCATCCCCCATCTACCCCAGAATCAGGTGCCAAAAGGTCCCTGCTGTCTCCCTGGATGTCGGGGTTCTACATGCACCTACACCCTGCACGTTTATACATTAATTCTTTCTAACAGTACTTATTAGCAGCAGAAGAACATGACTGCATCCATGACTATGACATGGGGCTTCCTACAGAGATAACACTTTTTGTTTTATTATATAAGCAATGATTTCACAGAATGGCTGAGGTTGGAAGGCATCTTTAGAGACTAGGTAGTCCAAAGTCCCTGTTCAAAGCAAGGACAGCTAAAGCAGATTGCTCAAGGCCATGTCTCATTGGGCTTTGTATGTCTCCAAAGATGGAGACTCCACTACCTCTCTGGGCAACCTGTGCCAGTGTTTAACCACCTACACATTAAATATTTTTTTTCTTAAGTGGAATTTCCTGTTGTCTCTTGTCCTATCATTGGGCACCACTGAAAAGATCCTGGCTCTATCCTTTTTATTCACCTCCATCAGGTATTTATTCACACTTATGTGATCCCCTTGAGCCTTCTTATCTCATGGCTGAATCACCTCAGCTATCTCAGCCTTTCCTCGTAGAAGAGATACTCCAATTCCTTAACAATTTTCTTGGCCCTGCACTGGACTTTTTCTGGTAGCTCTGCATCTCTTTTGTCCTGGACACCCCAGAACAGGACACAGCACTACAGGTGTGTCCTCAACAGCACTGAGCAGAGAGGTAGGATCATCTCCCTTGATCTGCTGGTAACACTCTTCCAAGTACAACTTTTCAGCTGGTTTACCTTATGGCTTTTACAGGTACCTGGAATTGTTCCTTTGACTCGGCATTTCCCTTTTCTGAACTTCAAGAGGTTCCTGTCAGCCTGTTCCTCCATTTGCAAACATTTGGTGTAGCAGCCACTCCTTCCAGTTTTGTATCATCCGGAAACCTGCTGAGAGTGCGCTCTGTCCCACTGTCCAGGTAACTTAAGAGGATGTTAAACTGTTTTGGCCCTAGTATCAATCTCCTATGTACACCTCTGGTGAGTGGTATCCAGGTGGACTTCATGTGGCTGATCACAATGTGAATGGCCCAGCAGTTCAGGCAATTTTCAGTCTCACTGCTCACTCCTCTTACCTAGGCTGTACCCTAGTGTGTATTTGCCATTGAGGATATTACAGTAGCCAGTGTCATAAACCTTGCTGTACTCAAGATTACAACATCCACTGTTCTCTCTTCATGCACCAGACCAGTCACTTTGCCACAGAAGGCTCCCAGGTTGGTCAATAATGATTTTCTCTTCCTAAACCTATAGTAACTACTCCTAATCACTTGTATTTCACGTTTGCAAATGGTATCCAGAACTACCTGTTCAATCCTTTCCCCAGGGAATGAGGTGAAGCTGACTGGCCTGTAGTTCCTTCTTGAAGAAAGGAGTGACATTTACTTTCTTCCAGTCCTCAGGAATCTCCTTTGATGGCCATGGCATTTCCAGAGTGGCTTCAAAGTGACGTTGGTTAGCTACTTCAGTGCTTGTGGTTGCACCCTATCAGGTCCCACGGACTTGTGTTCAGCCCAGCTGTCTAATTGTTCCCTAATCTGGTCCTTCTGACCTAATGGTAATTCTTCCTTATTCCAGGTATTTCCCCGCGTCTCAGGGATCTGAGATTCCTGAAGGTTGGTCTTACCAGTAGAGACCAATGAGAAAAGAACAGTGAGTATATTGGCCTTTTCCATGTCCTCTGTCACCATGTCCCCTTCCCCCTTCAGCAGTGGGCCCACATTTTCCCCAGTGTTCCTTTTGCTGCTGAGGTACCTGTAGAAACCTGTCTTTTTGCTGTTCACATCCCTTGCCAGATTCAAGTCCAAGTGGGCTCTGACTTTCCTAACCTGATCTCTGCATACTTGGGCAATGTCTCTATATTCTTCCTATATCACCTAACTCTACTTTCACCTTTTGAACATTTCTTTTTTATCTTTGAGCTTCTTGTTCATCCATGCAGGCCTCCTTCCACTTTTCTTTTACTTCCTGCAGGTGGAGACTGATCACTCTTGAGTCTTGAAGAGGTGATGCTTGAAAATCAGTCAGCTCTCCTGAACTCCTCCTCTATTCTGCAGGATGGTGTCTTAAGATAGGATTCTTCCAAGCAGGTCCCTGAACAGGCCCATTGTTTGCTTTCCCGATGTCCTGGGTTGTTAGCTTGCTGTCTGCTCTCAGGATCCTGAGCTCCATTACCCCATGGTCGTGGTGGCTAGGGTTGCTCCTGACATTCACATTACCAAACAGTTCTTCTTGTTTGTAAAAGTCAGGTCCTGCAAAGCATCTCCTCTCTTCACCTCCTTAATCGCCTGTATCAGGAAATTGTCCTTCAGTGCATTCCAGAAATCTCCTGGGTTGCTTTTGTCCTGCTGTCTTGCTCCTCCAACATATATCAGGGTTGTCAATGATTTCTGTGAGTACCTGGGCTGGTAAATATGAGATTTCTTTTGGCTATCTGAAGGAGATCTGATCTATTTCTAGCTGATCAGACAGTCTGTAGCAGACACCCACACCGATGTCACCCACATCAACCTGCCAGCCAGCCCAGACTCATAAGCTCTCAGCTGGCTTATGGCAGAGCTCCATACGTTCCTACTTCTCTCTCTAAAATACAGGGCAACTGCTCCTTCTCACCATCCTGACCTGTCCTTCCCAAAGAGCCTGTATCCAGCCTTTGCAGTACTCCGGAGATTTCAAAATTCAGGCTCCATCTACTGAAGAATTCAAAGGTGAGCATTTTCCTCTTTTTTTTTTTTTTGTATTTCTTTTCCAAACAACTGGCAACAAACAGAAAGTCCATTTCTCAGTACTATTGCAAAGTGCGTGTGTTATAGTCAAATATGTTCTATGCTACTGCTAATTTTGTAACAAAGAAATGTTTCTATCAAAAGGTGCTTATCACCAAAATTAAATAGTAGTGATAAATGGCTTGTTAATATTTTTCTGTGAGCCAGTTTTTAAATGGGTCACATTGTTCTTCTCTTTGCTAGCAACCTAAAATAGAAGTTATTATATCAACAGTGGGTTGCACATAAAAAAATGTTATCTGAAACTGAGTTTGGTAATGTTTTCACTTGAAAATTAAGGCTATAGTAGTACAGTTACTGAAAATTATCATAGTTTACTCTTTATTTTCCTCTTTATTTTATTCTTTAAAAGCAATATTCTTGATAGCAAAAATTGCAATTGGAGTTCTGACCAGAGAAAATGATCTCTTGGGAGAGGCAATAAGGAAAATGAATGTTCATGTTGAGAGTATAGCATTATCAAGGCTTCTTTTCCCTTCATGGGCCAAATTCTCTTCTGGCATATTTGTTGCAATTGCACAGACTTCAGTGAGACTGCACCAATTTATACTACAGAGAATACAGGACATTTTTTATTGTTGTTAAAACTGAACTAAGTTGCAAAAATAATGATAGAATTGAAATAAAACCATTGACAGTATTTTCTTTCAAAAATCTTGGATTTGAGAAGCTATTTACAGACATCAAACTGTGATCCATTTCTCCCTGGAGTGTCTTGCAGATGTGCAGCTGCAGCTCTCTGACACCAAGGAAAATATGAGCTGTCCACAGACAGCAGCAAAAAGCCAGGCACATGCAGGCCACCCAAGGCACATGGAGCCATCCAAGAGTCACCAGCAGCTCAAAGGGAGGGGTTTTTTATGTTCACTGTGAAACACTCTGGGAAAATGGAAATTCAGATGTGCATAGGGTGCAAGTTTTTTGGCCCAGCTTGGATTTATGCATCACAGCAGTGCTGATGAGGATTGTGTTCAGGCAATGTCACATGTGGCTGCAGAGAATTCCTTCTCAAAGAATGGATTTCCTCACTACTGTGTAAGCAGCTTCTGTTCCTGATCAGCTCTCAGCTCAGGATTAAGGGGCGACTCAGGGCTCCACTTCGGTGGCTTAAGTTAAAGTAGGGCAAGAATGGTCAAAGTTGTTTGCAACAATCAAAAGCATAATGAGGGAAAATAAAGAGGTCTTTCCACCACCTGCTGAGGAGAACAGAAGTGCAGGAGAAAACAGACTCAAGTACAAGGTCCTGGCTATTCCTGGCACCATGTGTTAGACTCTTTGGGGATTCTTCAGGGACATGAACTTCACTTGCACTAAGATCAATGAAAACCTATGGATTCAATCTGTTTCTCATAAAAAAGTAAGCCTGAGTCTCTCCAGTGTGCAAGTAAGAACTGTCTGAAAGTCACAGGGAAAGAAAGGGCTGAAGGGTTAAGAATTCTGTGCTTCTTTTTCTTTTTATACACTTCTTATTCCCACAAATCCTATGGGAAGCATAGGACTTCAGCACAGGGACAGCCAGAAAGATTCAGGGCTGTTAAATTAGTAGCTTGTTTAAATCCCAAGGTAAACTAGTTGTGCTATATTAATCTATGAACCCTCACATCAAATCTAGAGCCTCTGAGCAGTACAGATATTTTGAGATGATCTAATTGTGGTTGGAGAGAAGGGAAAGTATGGGCACAAGTAATGCTGTACTGTGTGCCGCAGTGGGGTTAGCACACAGCGCAGTGCAAAAAGCTGACACAGGCAACACAGCCAGGACACCAGGGAGCAAAAGTATCTAGGTATTTCTAAAAATTTGTGGCTGAAATAACCCTAGGAGAGCAGATTTGAAATGCTTGCTAGGAAACTGAGGAAGATGTGTAAAGAAAAACTGTGAGATTTTGGAAATGGTGGAGGGATTGGAAAGAGCAGGGAAGGCTACTGCTCCCACTCTTGTGGGAGTTTTTCCAGCTCTTAAACAGGAATCAGAGGCACCCCAGCAAGCTTTCTAAACTCAGCCAGGACCAGTTAACAGTAGTGCTTCTCACCAGAGTGAATTAGATGATATAGTCTTTAACAGAGTATTGGGAAGCAGGAGACAGGTCTTGACAGGTGAAGGATGCACCATAGAGCCAAGTGAGAGGAACATTCAGGCAACCCCAGGCTCCTGGGCAACGTTCTTTTGTGAGTTCACTGCTGGCAGAGACTGTGGGGTAGATGAATTATATCCTTCCCCACTCATACCTAGATTAACAACACTATGAAAGCACATGGAAATCATCATGGTATTGTCAGTTTAATCACTAATATCAAACAAGAAGGGAATAGAGAAGACTTCTAATATACTGCTGGCAAATGTGGAATTTGTAGTATATTGCTATATTCACCTCCACTGGGTGGATGACATATACACACTGAAATTTATGTTTTTACAAAATTCTTGCCAATGCTTTTGTTTTTACCCAACTACACAAACGGTTGAAAACATTTTTTAAAAAATCTACACTGCAGACAGAAAGCAAAATGAATAAGCATTTTGCAGATTCTGACTCCTTCAAGATGTGATTGATCATCCCATTGCCATAGGTCAACCTCTGCCATAGAAAACTCCAGATAATCTTCAGCTGCATTTCCTAAACCATTAATAGGACAGACAAGGCCAAGATAACAATGCACAATTTATTTTCCAAAAGCAGCTGACAGGAGGAAATGGATACCAAATGAATTAACTCATTAGAACAGTACAGCACATTTAGAAATTCAAAACAGACTGCCTGGAATGATTTAAATGTAACACGAGGTTAATGTCAGTCCCTTGCTTAGGCATGTCAATGTTGTAATCTTGTGCTCCAGTTTTAGAGAGGTTGATGGGTGCACACCCTGGGACTTGCAGGTTGGGGTAAGCTAGACTTAATTAATTACACGACTAGAATACCACCTATCATGGCCCCTCACAGGTTGCATAGTATGTGCAAGGGTTACATTCACATGCATGGACACACACACAAAACACACAGACATGACAACACTTTCTAATATAAATAAAAAATTCCATTGCTTGCTTGTTGAGAGTCAATATTAAAAATAGTAGGTATCTTATAGGCTGTAAATACATTCTGTCTTTTAAGAAACTGTGCCTATGTCCAGAGCAAAAACCTGTCAGTTGTCTCGAGGGAGAAAAGTTTCTCTCATGCCTGATTTATAACCAAGAGAGAATTTCTTGGAAATTTGGTTTTAACATTTGTCAGCCACAAGTTGTCAACCAAGCCTATTTTCTCCTGGCGACTTTCCACCTGTGTGTCTTTCACAGTTACAAGAGTGTATTTTTAGAAAATTGTGGACTTCTACTCAGCGTACCAGACTCCATTACAGCACTGCTAAGGTAATATCTACATTTATAGCTGTCATTAATATGGTATATTTAAGAGCTTTAGTTGCATTTTATCCTTCATGGGGTAATAAGATGTAATTAAAGGGGTCAGGGGCTGTATTACAGAAATATTTGCCACCAAACGCGTAGCACGAAGACTACTTTGCAAAGAGACAACTGGGAGCCAAAGCAGTTCAGAGTATTTCTTCACATATTCATGGCAAAAGCACAATGGCACTTGTCATTAAAAAAAAATTCTAACACAAGACCTTGTTCAATCACTGTGTCTGAAAATGGCTTAAATTTGATTAGTATGTGCAGGTAATGGGGACTAGGCAACAGCATAAAAATGGTGGTCCTGTTGATTTATGTCTGAATAGTCCAGATACATGATCTACAATCTGCAGCTGAAAAAATCTTTTTGCTTTCCTTTTGCTGCAGAAATCGCTTGGAACAAGGGTCATCCCAAAACAAAAGCAATTCAAGCAGCCTATCTGAGAGGAAGATGAGGAAGGAAGGAAGGAGGCTTACTTCATCTTCTGCACTGCCAATCATTTTACATCGTCCCAGATTATGCAATATACCATAGCAGGGACTGTGAAGCATGGGTTCATCAGGAAAGGGCACATTCATTAGTGCTGCTGCCACGTGTGGTCTCAGATGTCTGAGGTAGAAAGGTCACAGCCAGAGACTTCACAGCATCACCATCGGGCCTCAGTCCACACCCACTCCTGGTTATCCAGGGTTATGAGGAAAGAGGTTAAACGCTTTCATGTGACATCTGTTTATCCTGTAGTCATACAAAGAAGAATCCAGTTAAATTAAGTAGCTCCCTTAAGAATGACAGTTACTACGCAGTACAGATTAAAACAAAATTGCATGAATTAGTGATCTGATTTCATTTTGCAGTGATGGTTTACAATGTGTAGTGTCCAACAATATATCCTAAATTGAGGATTTAAAATGTCTAACAATGTGTAATGTCTTTGGTGCTCAAACTCCTGTTCCTTCGTTTGCATCTAAATCATGGTGAGAAAAAATGGGTTGGGCATAAGGCACAAGACTTTTTCTCATATAAAAAAAAATCAGCTCTGTTGGAATGAGGTAAGATTACAAAGCAAAGAGCAAGATTATGTCAGATCGGGGGTTGTTTCATGTGGTCACAACCTTTCTTTTCCTTGAATATCTGGGTTTATTATGATATTTCAATAATCTTTAGAAAAGTGTTGAAAATCCATTTTTTAAACTGGTCTTTGTCCTTTAACTGAATTCCTCACATAGACATGCACACACACCCTTAATCCTTTCCATTATGCACCAACAGGCTTCAGTGGAGCCCCCAGTCACAGCACTTCTGAAGTCAAACATGTTGGGTCTCCTGTGGAAGCTATCTTGCAAATTCTTGCAGACCAGATGTGCAATCCCAGTTTAAGCAACCAGCCAGCTCTGCAAATTGCTGGTACAAATCAGATACAGTCTTCCTCCTTTATTTTGTTCTGGCTTAAAGCAGCTCTCTGAGATCAACCTCATCCATGCAATTGTCCCAAAGAGAATTGCTAGATTTAGCTGACAGATGCATAAAATCTCATGTTGTCACAGAATTCCCATGTCTAGTCAGCACCAGATGTCAAAGAATGCAAATCTACAGCTGGGTCTGGTGTTCATTTGTACTCCAAATTCCTTCCCTCACAGCTGTTGTTTTCCACCTCCATGTACATAAAGCTGAATTTTCAGAAGCAGGAGATAGACCATGGCTCCTTATATTGATGTGAATATATATGTTTCTTTATTTGCCTGGAAAACACCTTTTTGGATTGAATAATAGTGTATTTGTGAGGGTATATTTGAGTATGCTCACACATCAGTATTGAAAACAACTTTGCTTATCTTATAATCTCTTCTCAACAAGTTCTGTGGAACCAAAGTTGTTTTTCCAAGTAGCTGTTTAGAGGTACAGAATTGGATTGTCACCCTTGCTTAGGCCTCCTGGGCACCATGGAAACAATAAGCATGGCCACAGTAATACAAAACAAAAGGTCTGTAGACATGAGGACCTGCAGAGCAGTGTTTCTTCAGTTATCTTCAGGGGCCTTTGCTGGCCATTCTTAGTGTCTCTCAGGAAAGGAAGCTCTAGCCTGGGACTATAAAGACTGTTTTGAAATTTTGTTCTCTCTTATGTAGATATTACCAGTCTGCACAGCTTTTGAAATCTTGTCAGTGAGCACCATTAAAATAATATGTCTGCAAGAACTGAATTGATGTGAATTTTTCCTTTTCTTTTTCCTATCTAAATAAGTGGAAAATTTGAAACAACAGGTAAGGGTGACTACAGCAGTCTACATGTTTTCCTGAGCTTCCTGCAAATGAAGTCAGAGGTTCAGAATTTCCAAGGTTCACTTCCAGTGACCTCAAGTGTAGCTTAGATTTCATTTCCTTAAATGAAAGTAACATGCACATGGAGACCTTTTCTTTCCACTTACTTTCCACTATGTTCAATTCAGTGTGAGTTCTCTGTTGCACAAATACTAGTCACAATCTAAGAAAATATTTGATTTCTCACACCTCTGTATTTCAGCCAGGCAAGAAAGTTGGTTTTCTCTAGGGCTGAGGACACATTACTGTGTTTAAAAGGGATGAGTCTTAAATTATGAGAGTGGTGAGTACTCAGAACACAGGTTTAAATTGAAACAAAAAGTCTGAAATAGACAATTACATGTAAATTCCTGATTTTTAAGGAAAGCATAGCACACACTTTTCCATTGCAACATGCCTTATATTAGACTCATAGTTTCTCAGAACGTTCGTCTTTTCCTGAACTGTTTTTATTGACTTCAGCTAGATGAGGATATTGTGGTCTTGGTTTTATCCCCTGCATGTTTCAATCCCTGCACCAAATGCAATTCCCCTAGCAGCACTGTCTCCCTAACTTCACTGAAACCTGAGGTGGTAAACCAGCAGCGCTGTACAGATTTCTCATCCAGTACCTGTAAATAGCATAGACTCACCTCACTGGAACTACTACACGCTCCAAGTCATGACCTGGTTTGCATGAAGCTATCCCAGCTCTGCCTACATCACTGCTACCCAATGCTTCCTGCTCTCGCCCTAGGGCAAGCAGAGCCAGGTCGGGTACCTGCGTCTGTCATATGAATACTCATAAACCTTCACATTGACAATAAGATTGAATCAAATAAACAAATCTGGCTAGAAAATAATGAAAAGTTGACTCTTAAGGTTGCATAAGCTGATGCCAGAGTCCTACTATTCTCATGAAATGCTTTAACGTAACTCGAGTGATAGCTATGAAACACAAGAGGAACAAAGATGTAGTGTGAATCCCCAGGTATTTCTGTATTTATTAACTGTGGTTGTAAGACAGAGCAATGGTAATGAAAATGTTAAGTGGCAAAGGCACTTTTGGGAAGTCTAGCAGTGTTTATTACTACTATTATTATATACATATCCACAATATCCATTTTTTAAAGTAGATAATAGTATCAATTTAGGAAAGCACTGATTTAAGATTAAAAAAAAAGTGGTCTTTAATGGTTTTACATTAAGCACTAGCAGAGTCAATCACTATCAGATAAGAGGAAAGGAGAGAGAAGAGTATAAAATACTTTGTTTGAAGTTATATGACCCAGCACAAATAGCCCTAGTGACCAAATAGTCCCAGCATCAGATACATCTACTTCAAATCACAAGGGGAAGTTTTGACAAGTTGAGCCTGATCTGTCTAGGATCTAGTGCTAGTGCTCGGAGTGACAGAAACTTTTATTCTGACTTCCTGGAGTTTATCCTGAATATTTTTAAAAGTATCAGCAAGTTGCATTTACTTATTTGGCATTGAATGCTTTACAGTGACAATATCTCAATGAACTGTTTATTAAAAAAATTAAAAATGTGTTTACCTAGTTATATTTTTAGATTAGTGACTGTTTTTCTGAAGGAATAGAAAGGAATTACTCCCATGGTAAAAGCAAATATTTCTGAAATTGATGAAGAAATACATGTTCAGGTGTTAAAAACAAACAAAAACAAACAAAAAACCCTAACCTAGCCAGAGATGACATTTAAATATGCTAATTCATGAAAAGAATATTAAAATGTTGAACAAATATTAAAGAAAGAGGAAGAGTTGAGAAAGGTGGGGAAGTCAGGGACTTCTTCATACTCTGTGTATCATCAAAAATGCATTAAATCTGAGACTGAAAGATGCTGAGAATCAAACTGAGAGAAATCAGCAGGAAAACAAAGTGCCAGTTGTGCCCAGAGTAAAGCACAGAGGATGCATGAGGAGGGGGTTAAAAACCTGTCTGAACTGGTGTTTGAAAGGTTTGGGGGAAGCATCATTCTGAGACAAATGGTTAGGTGGGCAGCAGTTGCATAAAAAAATAACTGTGGGGAAAAGTAATGTCACCTATGAAAATCATTGGGAAGGTGGGTTAGAGTTTCTTCCCTCTCAAAGGTTTTCATTCACAGGAAGTAAATAAGGGATATTTGTAAAGGAAAAAGCAGTTTGTCTGAGCCTGCCCCTCATGCTAGAAACATCAGTGTTGTCAGAAAGGAAACACACATTTTCAGCCAGCAGGTCCAGAGTCAGTTTCCAGCTGCCTCAGTCTCCAGGAGTCAATATGCAGTTGGAGATGGACACTGTGCACACTGAGCCCTGGCAGCACCGGCATGAGAAATGGGGCTTGGGCACAACAGCCAGGCTGTGGAGAGCAGCCATCGCTGCTCATTCTGGGCTTGCTGTATAAAATCAGACACCTCTGGATTAATTATATTGTAGGTCTGCTTTATGTTCATTATCATAGAAATTTGTCTCAGAAGCACTGCCTTCTGCCTGGAAAATAAATGTTTCTACTTTGCTTCATTGCCTAATAGCTGGAGGAGTCCATTACCCTGGGAAAACATTTTTTTCCATTTACATTGACTCTTAAATATTTTATGATCATTTTTCTTTCTAGCTTTCACAGTAAATAAAGCAAATACATGACAGACACAAGATGTTAAATAGTCACCAATGTATGTAATTTATTGTATATATTGAATCCTCACCTATTTTCATCCTAGGTTTCTATAAATTGCACTGTACATTCTACTCCTTCCTTCAATTATTTTCATTTACTTTAGACTGTTAGTGCTTAGTTTGACTACCATTCAGTCTTTATACTATAAGTACTTCGTAGAGGGCTTCAGAAAGTACAGTTTTTAAATGAAGTAGCTCTGGGACTTGGGTCCTAGTCTCTGAAAGGCATTTAATTATTATTTCTCCTCTGTGAGGATTGCTGCAGTGACGTTTCACTGTAGCACCTCTGCCTCTAATTCACTGTCAGTTATTTTAGAATTAAACATTATTTTTATCAGTCTGAAAAAGATGGTAGATGATTTTTTTAATCATCAAATGTAATACATTCTGTAGTTCTGCACATACAACCAAAATAACCATAAATATTAATAATTTTATTAATTAATACAAATAATAATCCATCTACAATAGTTGAAAGAAGAGAGCAGAGTGAGACTCTTAAGGCACCTCAGGGATGCACTGATCAAACGTGTGCCTGAAAATTTTTTTCTACAGCACTGTTTTGCTTTGCCTTCTCTCTGTTTTGGAAATCACAATGAAAGAATGGCAGTAAAATTACCTGCATCCCCTTGCATGTGTCAGCTGCATAGAAATGCCCAGTATGTACAGGGAAACTGAGCCAAGACCTTTCCAATACAGGAGCAGACTTGACTTTCTCTACTGCACCACTCCAAACTGGGC